AACATTAGATTCAACACTCTATAACAAGCTAAAATTTTCAACCTGAATCGACAATACTGTTTGAAACAAACTCACTATTATTATTATTAATAATAATATTTAATGATCTCAATTCGTACTTCGAATATTTTTGACTTTATATCGTAAACCTGGCCAAATTCTTCTGGTTACTTTTGTTTTAATTTTTATTCTCATTTATATTTTGAGTAAATCAGATGCAATATTGTGACAAATGCTTAGAATTCCATTCTGTACCTTTTTTGGAATAAAATAAAATAAATTATTAAATTATTATGTATGCTTTAATAAAGTTTATGCGATATGGAACTAAAAAGTCATTTTTTCACTATCGTGAATCTCTAGTTGAACATGTGATTTAAACACCACTGAAGTGAAAATATTCACCCACTACTGATATCAGTCAGAGAACCATTTAAAGCATGCAGTAGTGTTGGATAGATGTTTCAATCTAGTTCGAGACTTCTCTTCAGTAGGCACTCATTACCCATCACTTCGGAAATCGAACCAAAGACCTTCAGGTGAAAAGGTGCTGTTTTTTCTCCTTTTCTGTTTTCTTTTTTCTTACATGACTTGCCTCATTCTGATGTAGTCACTTCTGTTAAGTATACTGATGGCCTCTCTGTTTCTATGCCTGTCAACTCTCAGTCAGATTGTTCCAAATTAAAAAAAAATTTCTGTCGGAAATTAGTCAGTGTTCCTCTTCAAACGGTCTTAAGCTAAATCCGTCTAAATGTCAGGTAGTCAGTTACACTTTCAGACGTAAACGTGACCTACAACAACTAGTTAGCTCACATGGCCCAACTATCATTGACGGCACAGAGGTTGAAAATACATCTAGTATCAAGTACCTTGAACTGAGTTTTTCCACCGATCTTTCCTGGTCCTCCCACATCTTGCTAGTTACTAGAAAGATGTTTCGCCTAACGTTCTACGTTAGGAATTTAAGGTAGTCTGGTATAAAGCAGTCTTTGCTTTCTCAGTTTGTAAATTCTTGTATCCTACCCATCCCTCTTTACTGCTACCCATTAATCTTTCCTGGACTACTTAAGAAAGATTTTGCTTTGCTGAGAAAGCCACTAAAAGCCGTTAGTAGGGCAAGTGGGATATCGTTAAACCAACTGGTTAACACTATTGTGGATAGACATATTATATCATGTAAGAAACTAGCGAATACAATATTGTCAGACCACGAGAATCCCCTCTATTCACAGCTCTCTCCTTGCATTTCATCTGGTAGAACTATAAGCAACTAAAGGAGGCTATATGCTAGGACTATCAAGTAGAAAAACTCCACAATACCATATCTGGCACAGCTGTTATGTGATGAGAAATCCGTTAGGTATGACACGATCAACCTACTGCGGCACTCTAACAAATAGTCCCAATAGTTTTTTTTTTCCACGTTACCATTACACTCTTGTTCCAATCTTCTACTACACACCAATTTTATATTTCATATCCTGTGGTGCATTGTTTGAAATGTAAACGCAACGCTGTTCTTTTTATTTCATTTTATTTATCTATTTTCTTTTGGTTGTTGCTTTTTGATTTTAAAATCTTATAAAATTTATGAGGGAATTAGATGCAATGCATTGTAATGCACGCTGAAAATTCCATACCTGTACCACAAATACTGTTTGGAATAAAGCTGTTTATTAGTATTACCCTTTGACTACCCAGCTACTAGGGAGGAATCAAATTGCCAATCAATGTTTAATTCTGTCGATTAGCGATATTTAGCGCCATCACCATCAGATAGATGTCATCAGCGAGCATTTGTCCTCACATTAAACTTGGTGGACCCATTGGTAACGACTTCTAGTGAATTCACAGAGGTCAGAATTCAAGAACTGTTGGATTTTGTCCCAGTAGTGCGTCGGTGGTACAGTGGTTAGGACTCTCGCCGACCATGCACATGGTCCGAGGTTCGATTCCCTGCCAACGCACACTTGATATCTATGGTCGGCCTGCGAAATCTGGGCTACCGATATCCATGCTGAAAATTCCATACACTGTATACAGTGTGGAATTAAGCTGTAAATAAAAAATAAAAAAAATAAATAGCTGAGCTGTCAACAAGTTCGCCTTGTAATCTGTAGGTGACTTCGTAAAAGCCTGGCTGGCAGAAAACGGTTACGCGAACCGATTTATTGACAGTTACACAAAAAATAAGCAGTCTAAACTGGTCACTGACTCAGTTCCAAAAAAACCTTATTCATGAACTTGGAATTTAAAGGTGATCAAGCTTCAGATATGCTAAAAAAACCGTCTACCTAAAGCAGTCAGTAAGGTGTTCTTTGCAGCAAATTACAAATGCCGTTCACCAGTCTCCAGTTGTTCTCCATCTCTGTAAAAGATAAGCTTCCCTGTCTGGCTGCCTCCGTGTGCATCTATCAGTTCACCCACTCCTCTTGTGGAGCAAGGTATATTGGGCGTAGTCAGAGGACGCCATTTTCCACACGGATATGAGAACATATTCCAGCAGCACGCTTTTACAAGGAATAAAGGAAGTGTGTGAGAAGCTCTATTCTGGAACACCTGATCGACTGCTGTCCCTCTGCTAACCCTGACCATGGTTTTAAGATCATCTAATGGATCTATGCTAACTTGTAGTGTTTTCTTCGCTATGGACTTCGATATTGGCCTATGAACCCTATAATTATGCATCCCTTTCCAACATCTATACATCATATGAAATGTTCTCTGTATGACATCAATCGTTTTACTACTTGACATTTAACCATGATTATAATCACAAATATTTCAATTGCATTTCATACTACTATTATTATTTGCGCATTTCGTCCTATTTGGGACTCGTCGGCTAACTGGATGTACCAGCATTTCCCAGTGAGTAATGATGTTCCCACCGAGGCTCCAACCCAGTGCCCGGAGTTTCAAACGCCAAAGCATTATCCACTAGACCACTTGTGCCTCGAGAGCCACCTCTTATGCAACTGGTCACAAGAAGCCGATATGTCAACCAGGGACCGAGCACTTCAGTCCAATCAATCGACGGGAAAATCTCAAATTGAATTAAAATATTGTGTTCTTAATTTATTAGTACTCTTAATCTACCTTGGTAGTCCTTATCTGACTGTATTACCAAAAGTAGTGTTAATTGTCATCCTTCAAATTTCTTAAATCCCTAATCACTTTGCTCATTTTAGTTAGCTATTTTTTTTATTTTTCACTCAAATTGATTTGACAAGCAAATGTGTGTGATCAGATTATTCGACGCCTAAAGTGCAAATTCATAACAGAATTTTTCAGATAGCTTTCGTCTTGTAATAATGCTATACAGATTTATTAAGCGTGTAACAACATAAGACAAGAGCCAGGCAACAGATCATTTATTAAGAAAATCAACATATATTTATAGATTTTTATGTACATTATTATTCTTTATTGTTAGCAGAGAAGCAATGTCTTCTGATTGGTTGTTTTCGTGCTGACAAGGTTCTCTATATATCTGCGAATAGTATTTGCACACGCTCAGTCTGCTGTGATTGGTTGTTGAGTTCCTCAAGGTTGGGCTTTGTTCTTGTGCTTTTTTTTCTCATGACTCCGATTCAGCACGTAAACATAGACGTCAATCTCAATCTACGATTTTGTCTTGAAGACAGCTCTCACCACAAGGGGAATAATTGTTTTTAACATTAGTTATTCACAAAAGTCAAGTCATATCATTACTTTTTAATTCAATGCTCAGAGCACTCATATAGCGTTTGAAATATATATATATATATATTACTGAATTCAATGAAGTACATTCGGCTATGAAATTCACATGCGAAGAGGAATCCAAAGACAGAATGGCCTTCCTGGATGTCCTACTTACAAGAAAACCAGATGGTAGCATAAAAAGAAATTTGCATAGAAAGAGCACTTGGACAGGACTATATACACACATTTTTACAGATTCGTTCCTATCAAGTATAAAAAGAATGTAGTGAAGACTCTCAGCCACAGGGTTAGTTAGAGCTATATGCTCAGAAGTCGTAATTGAAGGTGAATTAAGCATTGTATATGATACTTTGATCGAAAATAGCTATCCCGAAAAATTTATCGCGAAACACATGACAAAGAAAAGGGAATTGGATTGCTAACGATCCTTAAAAAAGAAGCCTCTTTATATGCGACTACAGTTCAAGGGCGATATACAAAGTGAGATCATTACGAGGAAATTAAGAAAATCAGTTCGAAGAATGTTTAATGATGGCGAACTACACATCTTATTGTCTACACGACCAATGATGCTACCTCGACTGAAAGATGAAGTACCTAGACTAGCTAGCCACTTCCAATTGTATCTATCAATTCAACTGCTCTCTTGTGGTGGAGCGAGTTATATTGTCCATTGCTCTAGGAACTTGATTCTTCGTGCTCACTCGAGAACATCTCCCACTATGGCTAAATAAAGGTGTAGTGAAAACCATTAACAGTTCGATATTGGATCATCTGGTGCAAACCGGCCAGCCACAAAGCCAGCGTACATGCATCCTTCTCTATATTATACCGGGTGCCAAATAAATTACCAGAAACATCGAAGCACCGCATGCTCCAAACAGCAGAGGCTATTGCAGTTCGCCTGAAACAACCAGCGCTTTGTGTTCAAAAGAAGCAAGTCCAGCCAGCCCCTACTACTGCCCCTACTGTCTGGCCTTCAGTAGAGACTATAAATTCATCAATTTGTATTATTATCTTTCCTAAATTTTCCGACATTCAGCTTACATTATGTTGATGCTATTGAGCTGTAATCTATCAATGATATTATTGATTCGATGTTATTTAAACAGCATAGATGTCGTTCATAACACTAATTCATTCATTCACTATAATGTATATATAACTGTAAAGCCTGATGATGAATTTATCGAAAAGAGTACTCTTTGCTCAGTATACATTCTTTTGAATATATATATATACTAAGGTTATCAGATATCAACATAATTTTATTCCCTGCATCATTGTTACAGGCACAAAGTGAACACAAAACTGTTGGACAATCAATTCAAAATCGTGAGCATTTAATTGATCCAAAATGTTTATTACAACACAATCCACACACCACTGATAATATTATGGATAAATCAGAACTCCATCATCAGATTCATCATTTCCTTCCACAAAATGAAAATCTACCTAGTCATTCAAATCTTTATAATATCAGTACAGGAGAACAATCAGGATATCCTATTTCTCCTTCGCCTCATCATCATCATCATCATCATCATCAACAACAACAACAACAACATCATCCTCCACACCATCCACAACAGATGTTAATGACAATGATGATGACAGCTGCGACAACAACATTTCCAGGAATTAATCAATATTATTATTATTCAAATCAATCAACAGCTGGATATTTAGAACATCATGGTTGGTTGAATCTTCTAGATACATGTGGATGGAAAAAAGTTGAAGTGTTACTATTTCCTGATTTATTATTAATTGCACAAAAAAATGCCAGTGGTTATTTCAATGTGATTAAAGATCCTATATATAATACAAAAATATCCTACATTAACATTCCTCCGTATGCTTCAGGTAATTAAGATATATATATATATATATTCTTTTATTGTGCAGACTAACCAAGTCAGGGGAAATTATATCATCTTTCCTCCTACAGAGGCTATTGATTTATCAGCATTTATCATTTTTTTACAAGTTGATCATGGATTGATATCAGTTAGAGAACCATTGAAAACCAGCACTGGAGTACTGGACAGCTGCTGTTTCATCAGCCTAGTTTGGGAATCATTGGCAGTATGCACCCACTGCCAGGGTTCGAACCCGGGACCTTCCGGTTACAATACCATTCAGCCACTGGGACCCGATTCAATGGCCAGTGCGCATGAATTCTAACTTCTGCCAATTCGTGATTTAGCGCGACTGGCATCAACCATTGTCGTTGGTGGAACATCCATCCACACACGTGACATCTGATTGGACCTCACTGGTTACGACTTCTCACTAGAACTCCAGGAAATTCCATCCTGTAGCAAGTCACTACTAGTGAGCATCAGATTAATTTTCTATAGTTTGGTTTGTAAGGTTTAGTTATGTTTTTACGAGTTGATCACGGATTGATATCAGTTAAAGAACCATTGAAAACCAGCACTGGAGTACTGGATAGCTGCTGTTTCATCCTATGGGTTTGAATCTCAGTGGGTGCGTACTGCCTATGATTCCCAAACTAGGCTGATGAAACAGCAGCTATCCAGTACGCCAGTGATGGTTTCTAATGGTTCTCTAACTGATATCAATCCGTGATCAACTCGTAAAAGCATAACTAAACCTTACAAACCAAACTATCGAAAATTTATCATTTTTATTTAGTTATGTTTTATTGCAGATGTCGACAGCTTGTTTGAATAAGGGTTTTTTCTCCCGTGTTTCAATCCTTTGCTTTCCGATTGAAACATGAGGAGGCTTCAAAGCTTGAACACTGAAGTTTCAATAGCAGTGAGTCGGCTGGGAAATCGAACTCGCACCAATTGTGTAGCTGACCACCAGTGTACCAATAAACCACCGATGCTTTTCAAATAAATAAAGCTTATCATTTAATAGTGATGAGAAACATTTGTGCTCCCTTTGCATCAACCAATCGATAGCCTGGAAAAAATAAAAGAAACTCAGCTAATATGTATAGTATAACGGTGATTGCGGTAATCTCTATCTTGGAATAACTAAAGGGCAGTTAATTGGTTACTTTCCCTCTTTGTATCTATTTATCAATTTTGTTTGAATTGGGAAACAGAATATCATTTAGACAGTGAATTATAACATAATTTAGTGCAAGCTGAATAACTTCAGGTATCATCATAATATGACTATTCCCCTTAGTTCTTAGCGGAAAATAGGGCTTCAACGGCACATCTGCATTTCGCTTCCTTCTCTGCAGTCATCAGCAGCTGACTCCACAATTGCCTATAAACTTTCATTTCCTCCTTCTACGATCTCCTCCATCATTCTCGAAGACCGAATTCGTCATTCCCCATCCGGATTCCATTCATTGGACTGCCTGGCACGTGATATCACTCAGTGATCTCCTTAGTATGCTTCTGGTCCACCTCAATTTTCTTTTTTTGTATATTTATTGGGTGACAGGTTCTTCGCCTGTTCGTTAGAAGATTTCTTTATCGCTACTACTTTCTGCTTATTTGATCCTCAGTATGGAGTAATGGCGGTCGGAGGTGAATAAGTGGAACAAAATTAAGATCTAGTGGAACAATTGGTGCGTCGGTGGCATAGCGGTTACGACACTCGCCGACCATGCACATGGTCCGGGGTTCGATCCCCGGCCAACGACGCACTCCTTTACCTCGCCAAGCCAGAAATAAAAAAGCTGGTAAAGAGGAAAGGTTGGGCATGAAGCTAGGCTAGCAACCCCATCCTGTAAAATAAACATCACTGCTACAGAAACTTCAATCCCCCTAGCTCGAAGCCCTATGTTTCACTGGAGAACGTGAAGGAAAGAAAAAATAGGTGGAACAATTACTCCAGGCAGCCAACGTTCAAAGTCTGTTGTTTTTGTACACATAGTTGATGATGCATGTGATTAGCTAAAAATGCTTCAACCATAACCTTTAGTAAGTGTGAATCAAAGTTATGTAAGAAACTGGAAAAACAAAACTACAAACCATAATAAGGAGAAGATGAATGAGAGACATATATAGAAAGGTGATAATATCAAGAATAATGAATTTAAAAAATCGGTAGTTCTTTCATATCAAGGGGTAGGTATCATCTGAAATCACACCTAGAATTTTTAGCATGTCAGGAATACAAAACGAATTTCAAACTCATCGACTCACTTAGAAACAAATTATGTCGGCTAAAATAACCTTATCAGCCCAGCAAACAAAATGGTCTAGTTTATTCAATACACTTTAATGATTGTGAGTTCAAACTAGAAGGCCGGGATTACTTGGCTTCGATGAGCACAAAAACCTAGAGAAATCTAGATTAGTTCACCATAATAAATGAAAGAATTAAGAAAAAGAGCCTATCTGTAGCCTTTTACGCAGTTACACATGTAGGGGACTGTCTAGAGAGCTCAATAACATAACAAATATGCGAATAAAAATCCAAGTCAATGAGATGATAGCGTAACAATATATTATCAAAAATGCGGTAATGAGTTATATTAATTAAAAGGTTACTTGGATATACTGTTAAAGTCGACTGCTTTAAATTATTTATATAATCCACAGAAGCGTTCACTGTTAGAATCGTGTCTGCTGGTAGCAGCTGTGTGCCCGTTGTAGAGTTGTCTTCGGATAAGGATAATAGGTTCCTGCAATAAATCCAAAGTATACAACACGGTATGAGTGGAGCAGGTAGACAGTAATGGCCAGTGAGAAGGTGAGGCTACCAACGGTATAGGGTATTTCGCCTTCTCACTGGCCATTACTGTCTACTTGCTTCACTCATACCGTGTTGTATACTTTGGATTTATTGCAGGAACCTATTATCCTTATCCGAAGACAACTCTACACACACAACCCTTCAGTAAGATGGTATAACACGATAGTATTAAAATCTAATATGAAAAGGCTGGAGGCAGGGATCAATAACTGAAGCATTTTTCATCGGATAAACTGAGGACACATGCATTAAGAATAACTCCATACCCACCCGAGACATCTGGAAAATACTATTATCCGTACGAAGGAAAAAAGAAATATAAAAATCAAGTTTCGAAGTTGTGCAGTTACAGTTAATGACATAATTATGAACACTGATTGATTTCTGCAAAACGTAGTGCAATAAATGATACTGATTCACTGTGCTTGATATATCCAACAAACAACTAAATATAGAATTATATATTACCACAGTAGCAAGGTTTTATTTATGTTACTATTTTATAAGTGATAATTTTCTTTGCTGTATTTGCTATTACAGATCAACTTATCCTGCAATATTTGGCTGAGGATAATCGTAAACAGATTGCACATTTTCAAGGTTCAGATGTTCATGAGTGGTTAGTTCGCATACAAAGACATATGGTATATAATGGAAACTGGTGGATGGGTGGTAAATGACCATTAACGGGATAGCAATCTCTGTTTATTTTAATATATAAATTTGTTTTACTTACTAAGAGTTCAGTAGTTCAACATTTTGCCATGAAAAGATTCCTATAACTTAAAAATATGAAAATGAATTATTTTTTGTAAATTATGTACCATATAACTTTTCTTTCCAATTATTCGTTGTCTTTGCTAAGTATGGCCTTACTCATGTAAACATCATATTAGCTATGGAATTAATACTTACTACAGAGGAATCTACTATTTACTGTGAAATGAATTATTCAAAGAAACATCTTGATATATTCCAACTAGAATTCATTGTGGGCAAACAACTGATATATCCCCACCTTTACGAAACCCACTTCCGTTTAGATTTTGTAAAAAGTTAGAGTTTTGTATAATTACACTGAAAAGTGAATGTAGAATACTTGTTAATTCGAATTGTTTTTCTTCTCTATCTTAAAGCCAGATCCTAAAACTTGCTGTTTTTGCAGATGTTGAAATGTCTTGTTAAACAATAAAACTTCTCATTGTAAAATATAATCCTCAGCAAAGGAACTGAATAAACTTGAATTATTGCTTCTTTTATCTTGTTATTTGTCGAAATATATTTTCCAGCCTCCTAACATTTCAACAGCCATCAGTAGGTCGGTTAACAACTATCATAACAAAAGACCACCAAGGCATTCATCTGTTTAACTTTAGGCCGGAAAATCGCAAAACCCTTAACATGTGTGATTATACATACCATTATTTGAAGAAAGAATTCACTATTTATCAGTCATCTTCTGTTTCACCTTAGATTCTCCGAGTTTATTCCGCTAACTGGAGAAAAAAGAAAATGAATGAGTAAAAAGAAACTTGTGAAGAAACTCTGATTTATATATATATATATATATATATATATATAACCTGAAAGAAACAACCTCCTTTACCTACCTACCTGGGAAGCATCGTTTCAACTACAGGCAGACGGCACTGACGAGGATATCAAAGCCAGAATCGGAAAAGCAAGACAGGCTTTCATTACTCTCAAGTCTGTGTGGAAGTCAACAGCACTCAGCGTCAAAAATAACATCCGGATTTTCAACTCCAATGTGAAGTCAGTCAGTGCTACTCACTATACGGATCAGAGACTTGGCCAGCGCGTCATAAAGAGCATCTCCAGCAAACTTCAGACCTTCATTAACAGTTGTCTTCGCTCAATACTCAAGATCAGATGGCTGGTCAGACAAGATCAGCAATAGGGATCTCTGGCAATAAGCGAACCAACCAGGAACCGATTGTGAAACAAATAAGCAGGAAGAAATGGAGATGGATTAACCATGCTCTGAGGAAACCATCAAGTGACATCACTAGACAAGCCATCGCTCGAGTTGAACCCTAAAGGGAAGCGACGAGTTGGTCGTCAATGCAAGGGTGACTTGGAGGAGGTCATGTGAGGAAGAGATGAAAGCATGTGGGCAGACTTGGAGCGAAGTGAAAAAGTTGGCAGAAAACAGAAGGCAATGGAGGTGCGCAGCTGAAGCCCTATGTTCCTCTAGGAGTTAAAGGATATAATATATATATATATATATATATATATATATAGTCAAGACGGTAGGTAGACCTGAAGTGAATAGTGTTAATGAGATGACTTTTACCATGAAGACAGTTAGGAGTTCAGAATGGAAAGTGAATTTACATATAGCTACTTTCAAAAAATATAGATTTACAGTAGGTTGGGACTACATCTTGATGATATGATAAAGCTTTGGCTAGAACTTTTAGCTAACACTGGGCAGTTTTCTATGATCTAATACAGTTGCAGATAATCAGTCATCTATAAATTGCCATCTGATGAAATTACTGCACGCCTAAAGGCACTAGTGTAACAGAGCTTGTCCCACTTTGAACTGATAAAATTCCATTATCGCTAAAGAATGGACACATGAAATGATTACTCCCTTATGGCATTCATTACAAGCCGACCGGAGCAGCCAGGCGATACAGTCTGAGAACGCGGTACTGCATAGGCCTTGTTTACAAATTAGGGAGGGGGGATAACCAATCAGCGTGAACAACGACTTTATTAAACTATCATTTACTGACTCTATTTATTTAGCAACAATGATGAATGCTAGTTGCTTCAACTTTCGGCATACTACATGGAGATTTCAATATAGCATTTGCGAACTTGATTCATTGTGGAGTCAGGAAGTTGATAGATATAGGTATCCTGTGACAGCTGTCAAGTGAATATTTTTGCAAGTCTATAGAAAAGGCAGTAGAAAATTTTCTATGCAAGATGTAGGGGAATTACAATCTGATTTTATATGTGAGAAACTAAAAGTTTGAAAGACACTACGAAAAAACACCACCTACTTCTGACGTGATTTGCACCAGATTGACACTCGATACTCTAGAAATTTAGCAAGCCATCATCTCCATAAATGAGCATAAACTTCAGTAAATCTCGAGACATTGTAGTGTACCTTGAACCTTTGAACTTTTGTTTTAGCGCATTCACTCTCTTGTGGCGCCACGCCATCTTGTGTTTTCCGACATGACTATACACACAAAATAATTATGTATGCTGCCGCAAGTGTAAGTCCTCGAATCCTAATACAATTATTCTCTATGATCAGAGAACGTTTAGAAAATCAAATCAGAACAACATTTTAGTCGTCCAAAACTCTAAATATATTTCGACGTCAGAAACGTATGACAATGGTGTTTGCTTAGCTAACTGGAGTGCGCACGAAAAACCGAACGTAACTCGACAGAGTGTTGAATAGAATTAATAGTTGGCGGATCATCTTTAGCAAAGCCATCTAACTTAAACAGTGAAGGTTAGAACACAATAGGGAATGACGAAAGTATCTGGCTAACAATTTTGGCAGATTGTTTACCACTCACAGCATCGCTATTTGGAATGTACCAGAATCTACTAATACTGGTCTGACTGTATGCCACGCACATGTTCTTAGGTCGGCGTGGTAATTATTTCGTGACCTACTTCCTGAAACAAGTGTCTGTCTGCCTGTTAGAAAGGTTATCCGAACCACGAAATGTAATTCCGATCCAAGTGAAATTTTCCTATGACCATTAAAGGGGATACTATGGAATGAGACAGAAAAATGCATTCTCAACCGATCATTTAAGATGAAGCACAGAAAGATTGAAATCAGGCCCCACTGGCCGTTAGATGATGGAATCATGAGGGAAGAGTAGCAACCGTTTAGAGATTACGATGGAGCAGGATGAAAAAGACCAAAACGTATGTCAGCCATGTCTCGTAAACCGTTAATGCCCAGCTCTTGCTACGCTGGGACTCACGCTGTTCCCCGAAGCTTCTCAGAAACGCTTAGTAATAATGGACGCACAAACCAAAACACCGATTGGCGACTCGAGAATTCTTTATTGTAACACCAACATATAGCCAACTTTAAAACTAAGCTTTAAAACCAAGGTCTATGAACAAATATCACAATAATAAATCACAATATTACTTCTGACGGTTTCGTACTTGCTTTCTGAACAGCGATCGATGAGACGATGACTGTTGTATTGATGCCTCCGCGAAAATTGGGGAAGTTGATTTTGAGCAAACAACCATGAATTGATCGTTCAATCTCCAACTACATTGACACTCCCCGGCAAAAAAGGGATCCAACCCTTTTTTCCATCACGACCGATACACGTTGACTTGGATGCCATTGAGAGAACCTAGGTCACACGGACAGAGCTGAAATGGAAAACAAACATAAAAGCTAACACACCACAAGCATACTCACAGCACAATCTCACACATCAATGACGACATGCGCCTTCTAGTTAAAGGCATCCTCTTGCAACACAATCGCCACTTGCTAGAATAACTCTTGCAGAATGCAACGTGACCATAGCACCACCTCATGATACTCTACGCACATCCTCTTATCTACTCACTACCAATTACCACTGAAATCGCTTGTCACTCATTCTGCCTCAGTTCTAATAGCGGTGACGCATGCGAGCCTCAGTCGTTTACACTCTTTCTCCACGGCGTGTCGGACCGCAGCTAACAATTATCTCCGTGTGCATTACATTCTCAGGAATAGCCTCCCCGGCGTATACGACCCATCTGCTGTCTTTAACATCAATCAATTAATTCACGGATGTAGAAGACAAGAAACAACTTCAGAAGTAATCACGACGAAAATTTTAACAAAATTATGCACTAACAACAAGGTACGAAAACGACAGGTAAACACAATGAATCCAAAATACACCGATTGACATGACACACCACACGTATACACAAACGGTACAAATAACCTCACGGATCATGTCTTGATGGAATTCCTTTGAAGAATTGCAGGACTTACACCAGTACGCCTGCAACCCTTCTCAGGTTGACGATTGTAAGTTGTGGAATGTCCGGAAACGAACACGGTTAACCAACAATTACATCAATTGGAACTCACACAATTATTTAACACAAACATATGTACAACCAATACATCAAATGTTGTGGATTCTGCCTTGACGAACTACTGTTGAATAATTGTAGGACTTACAGCAGTACGCCTACATTCCTTCTCAGGCTGATGATACAAGTGGAAGTCGTCCGGACACAAACAGAATTGCCAACAGCTAGATGATAAATGATACCAATTCAGTATATGCAATATGAACATATGTACAAAATCACACACCAAGCACGTTGGGCTGCTCATTGATGCGCTACCCTTTGAAGAATTGTAGGACTCACAGCAGTACGCCTACAACCCTTCTCAGGTTGACGCCCTAGGTTGGAAAATCGTCGCAGAGTTCATTTGCTAATTTCCTTCTATCAGCTATATCCTCAAATCTGAACGGCAACACGCCCATGTCATTGTATCGTAGAATATAGATGACGAACAAACACACGACGTATCTGGTCAACCAAGAGTAGGCACAGAGTAATTTACACCAAAGATAATAACATTCAAATAGTAACTTGAAACTAGAAATGCCTTTATTCATGCAAGTCAATTTAACAATTA